TTAAAATTAATAAAATAAAATTTTAAAAAATATCAGTCCTTGTATCTGCTTGGATCGCAGTTCTTCTACAGGCCACTGTAGTGAGAGTCCACTTTTGTTTGCTTACTACTAACTCCCCAAACAAACTGCAGCGTGAGGCAGAGTCATGGAGCTGGGGAAGGTCCTCCTAACATGAAGCACCAGCGAGGGGACGGGGAGGCGGGTGTGTGGACAGCAGAATTCTATCACAGGGAGGGAACCAAGAGCTGGGAGTTACGGCCCAACACATCACAGTAGGAAGGAGCTTGAGTCCTAAGGTGATGAAGGCAGATGGCTTGGTTCCCCCCAATCTGGAGGAATTCATGTTGTATTTGGGACCAACAGAGGAATCAATGGAGGAATACCAGCCATGCACAGTTTCCCTCAGCCTCTCCTCTTATTAACATCATTCTCACTGGTGGTGTTACCGAGGACAGGAAAGCACTCCTAATGCCCTTTGCCTTTTTCCTTGCAGCCCGTAAGCTGCTCCGCATCATACTGCCCACGTTTTTCTGTGTTTTGCTCGTCATGATCGCATGCTACTTGAAAATTCAGTGGTAAGTGTGTGAGCACGATTTTACATGGGGCGTGAACAAAGTAAATTCTCAAGACTGTAAATAAGAGACAGGACAATAAATAACCTGAAGGGAGGGAAAAGCACTAAAAAAGAGAAGGGAAAGGGAGCAAAGGCTTCCAATTTATTTCAGAATTCTGCTTTTCATGCAGACAGAGGAGGAAAAGAAAGGCCATTTAAAGTAACAAAATTGAGACTGTGTCTCTATTAATAACAGGAATAGCTTAATAGGGAGCTCTGGTGGCAAGAAGCTGCACCGCAGTCCTAAAGGTACTCGGTTCAAGGACACCAGCTGCTCTGTGGAAGAAGGATGGGCAGTCTCCTCATGTGTGATTAACTGCCTCAGGAAACCCACCAGAGAGTCAGATATGAATTGGTTCCGACTCTATGGAACATTCTTCTAAGTTGTACAGCACTCTTCTATCAATATGCTGCACTTAGGTAACCTGGAGCTGCTGTGATGCTGAACTGTTTGCCACTGGGGTGTCAAATGCCATAATGGTTGCCCATGGTGGACAGTGTTTGGTGGAGCTCCCAGTTTCTAAGGTTTTGAAGCAGGAATAGCAACCACTTCCTAAACAACATGCCTCCTGAAACTCTATTAGCTTTGATAAATGTTGATAGTTATAGAAAGTCTTCGGGGCCTTTTGTTCATAAGGTCACCATGAGTCATGCTCGACTCAATGGCAATCAACAACAGCAACTATGGTGCACAACAACAATACTTATATCATGCAATTAGAATCATTTGAGTGGCTGGACTTTATGAGCAGGAATGTGGCATCAGTGTTAGAGGAAGACTTATCAACAACCTGTGTTACGCAGATGACACAACATTGCTTGCTGAAACTGAGGAGGGCCTGGAGCATTTTCTGTAGAGGGTCAAGGACTATAGTTTTCAACATGGATTGAAGCTCAACATAAGAAAACAAAGATTCTCACCACTGGCCAATTGGCAGCACCACAGTAGATGGAGAAGAGATTGAAATTGTTAACAAGTTCAGCTTGTTCAGCTCCACAATCAGTACTTTGGGCACGATCAGTCAGGAAATCAGAAGACAAAAATGCATTGGGAAATTCTGATGTCAGGGACATCTCCAAAGTGCTTAAGAGCAGCGATGTTAGTCTAGAGACTAAGGTGTGCCTAATGCAAGCCATGATCTTTGCATTTACTTGATGTGTATTAGCTGGACAAAGGCTAAAGATTACAGAAGAATTGATGTCTTTGAGTTGTAGTGGTGGAGTATTGCACATTAACCACAGACTGCCAAGAGAACAAACAGGTCTTACCTGGAGAGGGTGAAACCAAGCTGCTCCTTCAAGGCAAGGATTTTGAGGCTTCATCTTACATACTTTGGGCATGTAGCCAGGAGGGACATTATACTTGGAAGGGTAGAGGATCATGCAAAACAGGATGTTACACAGTAACTGGGGTAATGGAGGAAAGTGTGCCAAGGTCAGTGAGATTGGTTCAGGGTAGGGCAGTGTTCTGAGCTCTGGGCACAGGATCACTGTGAGTCGTGGTTGATTTGATGGCACATAGCAATAACAATGCTTATATGCCACTTTTTATGTGTATGCCAGTGTTCCAAAAGCTTTACAAAGAATAACAATTTTTTCTCACCACACCACTATCAAGTGCCATAATCCTCTCCACTGAACCAATAAAGAAATTTCAGTATTGCTGCTGTTGTCAGGTACTGACTCCAACTCAGAGCAAACCTGTGGTCAAAACGGCAAAACGTTGGCTGACGCTCTCCCATCCACCCAGTCCCTGCTCCATTGTTACAGTCGCTGTGTGGGTCCATCCCCGTGGAGGTCTTCCTCTCCTCCTCTGACCCTCCACTTTCCCAGCTCGATCTCCTTTCCCAAGGACTGGCACTTCCTTACAACATGCCCAGAGTATGTGAGGCAAAGCCCCGCCCTCCTGGCCTCTACGGAACACCCTGGCTGCACTTTTTCCAAGATAGACTTGTTTGGTTTTTTGACTGCCCATGGGATAGTCAGTAATTTTCACCAACAAAATTCACAGACATTAGTTCTTCTTTGGTTTTCAATAGTAGTTGTCCCACCAATGAACCTTGGCTTGGATCAGTCACACATTTATTTTTAAATTCATAGATATCCTTGCTCTTCAACACTTTAAAGATGTCTTCGACAGCAGATTACCCCAGTGCATTTTTTTTGCATGTATTTTGTTTTCTTGAATATTTCTATCAAGCATGTTGTAGAACCAAGTAAAATGAAAATAATGACAACTTCAATCTTTTCTCCATCCATCCTACCCTGATGTTTCCTAGTGATCCAGTGGTGAGGAGTTTTGTTTTCTTGATGTTGAAGTATAATCCATATTGAAAGTTACAGTCTTTGATCTTTTTCAGTGTTTCAAGTTCTCCACTTTCTGAAAGCAAGGTTGTGTCATCTGCATAATGCAGATTGTTGAAGAACTTCCTCAAATTTTGGTACAGTATTCATCTTCATAAAGTCCTGACTTTTGGCTTATTTGTTCAGAATATGTATTGAAAAAGTATGGTGAAAGGATCCAGCTTAGAGCATGGACAATTAAGTAGTTGTTCGAAATGGTTCAGTTAAGAAGTGGTTAACGATTCACACCCAGCAGCTGCGTCTGGAGTGCTCATCTCAACTCTCCCACCATCTTGCATGATTCAGTCTCATTTTCGTTGCTTCTCTAGGATGAAAGAGAAGTGTTATCCTGACATTCCAGACCCTTACAAGAGTCATGTCCTGTCAGTAATAAATCTGAAGGTAAATGTTTAAGAAATATTTTCTATTTTTTTAAGAAAATGTATTGATTTCTTCTGATTGGAAAATGTGTTTGGTTTACAACATATTGCTATGTGCCATTGAGTAGACTCTGACTCAGCGAGCCTAGGAACAAGGGCTCTCAACCTGCCCTGTGTTGAGCCCACCTCAGTCTCTGGACACACATGACCCTATTGTCACAGTCATTGTGTTAGTCCATCTTACCTGGGGTCTTCCTCTCCTGCACTGTCCCTCCACCTTTCCAGGCACAATTTCCTTCTCCAAGGACTGGTCCTTCCTGGCCACGTACCCAGAGTATGTGAGACAGAGCTTCAGAATCCTAGCCTCCACGAGCAACCTTCTCCAGGATAGACCTGTTGGTTCTCTTGGCAGTTCATGGAGTATTCAATATTCTTTTCCAGCTCCACAATTCAAAGGCATTGATTCTTCTTTTGTCCTGTGAACAGCTGACAGAGACAAAACCCGCGTAGGATGAAGCTCTGAGCACACTGCATGGATTAATTCACATCTGTGCACACGCACACCCCTTGTATGTGTGTATTTACGTATTTATTTTTCCCTTCCTTCCAGGAGATCCCTCACCTGACAATAATGAACATCAACGAGTGCAGGATAGATGCGCTTGAGATTGTGAACAAGCTGGAAGGGAGTAAGACACACTCCTCACACACCGACAGGTCGCTCGCCAAAATGGAACCCACCTTGTCAGTGGATTACCTTTCCCTGCTTTCAACAGAAAAGAATCCCTCCGACCCAAGAGGCTCCTTCGGTTTTAAGAATTCCTCTGACCGAAGAAACTGCATCTGTTTTGACAACAAGACCTATAACTGGAAAATTTCTGACCTTGATTCTTATGACCAAATCGCCCAGTCCCCTGTCACAACACTAAGCCAGCGGGGACCGCTGAAGGCATCGGAAAGTGTAGTAAAAGTAGACAAAGACTATGTGAACTCCCTGGGAGGAGTCGCAGCTGGAGAAGCTGGCTTGCATTACGTGTCCCAGTTGGCCTCATGCTTGCCTTCAGATAAGGACAGGCTCCCTGGTGATGCCCCAGTGCCAGCACCCTGTACCATTTACCAAATGCAGGTGGCAGTACCCACGAGCCCAGCCTCATCTCCCTGCAGTGAAGCCAGCAGCCGGTCCTCAGTTGCCCTTTTAGATCAGTGTGTCCACTATGGCTGACCAGCATATCCTCTGCATGCCTGGATGCTACACAGACTTGAGGGGGCGGCGAAACATCACCAGGAGGTGAGGACCTGCATCCCAGTGAACTACTGCCACCTGCTGGTGTGACTCAGTATGAGACCTCTGATACCTTGCCGCTGAGCCCTGGGGGCACCATCCTTAAAACATGCAGCTGCAACACAAAGCTGGTGGTTTGAACCACCAGCCAGCCACTCTGTGGGAGAAAGGTGCAGCCGTTTGCTTCCATAAAGTGATTTGTTTCTGTAAAGATGTACAGTGTTGGAAGTCATAGGGGGCCAGTTAATCTGAGTCTTGTTAGGGCCTCTGAGAGTCCAAATTGACTTTATTGTTTTGTCTGGGTGAGTTTCTTTGGCAGCATTTGGGGAGAGTGCAGAGGCCAGAGCTGTGACACTCGGTTTTCCTTCTCAGAGCAGCTTTGCAGGACCTGAGTCGATGCATGTTTTGCTGTTGGTTGTTTCAGTCATCTATAACAATCACTTGACATAGTGCTGCTGTTGTTTTTATGTATTGTTGAGACGAACTCAACTAATAGCCGTCCCTTCAACATTTTTTTTTAGAGGCTATAAAGTGTATGGGAGGAGACTGCCCGTTTTTCTCTCATGGAGACCCTGGAGGACTAGAACCATCTGCCTTTGGGTTAGTAGCTCTACCCACTAGGCCACCAGAGTCCTAACAGAGCTATTTATTATAGTTGAGTACCATCGAGTCAGAACTGACCCATAGCTGATCCTCCAGCGGGTTTTCAGAGACAGTGTATCACATGGGAGGAGACTGAGCAGCTGGTGGATTTGATACGGGTGCCTTTATCATGGCAGCACAGTTCCTTACCACTAAGCCACCAGAGCTAGAAGTCAATAATCCTAGGAGCCCCCCGACTCCCCGCACACTACGTACAGATAAACTGTGGTCTTGTGAGGTCCGGTTTTAGTGAGAAAATGCTTCCAGGAAAACCTGTTGTCAGCTATCCTCTAGGAACCTGGTCACCTGGGATGCTCTGGGTCATATGACTGTGATCCAGTGTTTTCATTGGCTACATTTTTAGATGGAGCTTCTTCTTCCTTGTTTGTCTCTGCTGAAACCTATTCTGCACCTCTGCCACCTGCAACTCTCCTCTGTTGGCAGTCCGAAGACAGATTGGCGGGAAATAGAGTCCCAGTCTTCCAAATAGTAGGGAACCACCATTGTCCTCTTAGTAAATTCTACCCCTGTGCTTTATACTTTAAGAGTCAAGACACTAGTTTTATTGCAGGCCAGAAGATTTCATCTAGAATATAAATGCTCAGAATCATTTCTTCTGAGTGCATTTATGGGGAAAGTCATAGCTGTTTACAGCAAAGTATATGCTGAGATTTGCCTTGAAATGGTAAGAAGTTATAGCTCAGTTATGCAGCAAAAGGAAATATTTTGTGGGTGGGGCCTTGAAAAACTCAATTACTAGGAGAGATGTGGGAGTGAATGGGTAAGAACACTCCAATTCATACCACACACAGTTGAAAGAACTGGATGGGCCTGTAACTTGGCGCTGTGTCAGGATAGGAACACCCCAGTTTAGTGGATGCCAGGCACCTTACCATGATTTTTGGAAACTACCTCAGAACCAGCAGGATAACATATCATCTAGTAATCTCCACTCATGTTGTGCGGTTCTCATGTTGCCCAGAATCGTGTGTAAGTGAGCTGCTTTCACTCAGCACCCTGTGGACTTCTCAGTAAGTTTTGTCAGGGGTAAGGTAACACACCCATTGTCACATTTAAATTCCTCTTTGACTAAAAATGAAAATGAACATCATTGCTAGATGTTGTATAGTGAGACTTCAGTGTAAAGATGGTGATGTGGAAGACGACTGCCTGCTAGGGCCCAGGAGTTGTGTCTTCTCTGAGCGCCTGATGTGTAGAGCACCTGGTGTGGAACAGGTGTTGGCTAACACACCCCTTCTTCATCTTCCCTCCACCTGCTCACCCCTCGTGTTTATCACATTTCTAAACAAGCGTGAAGAGGGTTGCTGACTGCTTTCATTCTGGTGGAAATGACTATGCCTGCATGTCGGCCTTGGGTACAGGATGCCCTGTGCTGCCCCATTCACCTCTGAGAAAGAAAAAGCAGTACCAGTGTCCTCAAAATAATGTAGTCGGCTGGTCAGAATCTGTTGTTATCAAGTCTTTTTTTTAAATTTTATTTCATTATTTTTTGTGTGTAACGTCAAATCAGATCTGACTGGTACAGGAGGAGATTGTTCCTCCTTCTCCAGAAGAGCATCTGGTGGATTTGAACCATGCACCTCTGAGACTGTAGTTGCAGCTTCTTGCCACTAAGCCACCAGAGCTCACCATCAAGTCAATTCTTACAGCAACCCTGGGAGACAAGGCTGAAGCGCCCCATAGGTCTCCAAGGCTGTTCATTCTGATGGAGATGATGGTGAATTCAAATTACCAGGATTTTGATTAGCAGTCAAGCACTTAAGCACTGCACCACCAGGACTCCTTACTGACTAGAGCTGCACAAAACAGTGTTTCTGTTCAGGCTCTTCCAGCTTCCCCCCCTACTTGCACCTAAGCCTTTTTCTGGAAGATCCTAGTCATATGCACTTGCCACTTAGAAATACCTTGACTCATCTAATAGTTTTGAGAAACATTTGGGGCCAGTAATCATCATGTACCTTATTTATGTTCCACTGGAGGTTTTTCTATAATGCAATTATATATATTTGAAATATGTGGACAGAGATGGCAGTGATGGCTGATTTGTATACTCTTTCATGTACATTTTATTTAAAAAATGTGTTAAATGTTGACGTCATTTACTGTTACAACAACCTCCATTAAAATAAATATATATTCATCGGATCGTTGTGTGTTGGTGCAATGAAATAAAAATATAGCAATTGTTTGATGTGGTACTTTATGAGGTTATGTGGCAGGTACCTTCTGGTGCACTCTAGTCTCCTAACCATAATCCCTGGGACAGGGGTTTGCAGTCTTTGCTTGTAATCAGCTTCCAGCTGTTCTGATGGACACTAAACTATTGTTCCAGTGGTGAGAATTTTCATTTTCTTGATCTTGAGATTCAAGCCAAACTGAAGGCATTGATCTTCTGCAGCCAGTGTTTCAAGTCCTCTTCACTTCCAGCACGTAAGGCTGTCTTTTGCATAACACAAGCTGAGGGAGTCTTCCTCCAATCCGGACACCACATTGTTCACATGGTCCCGCTGCTCAGACTGCTCAGCATACAGCTAAATAGAAATGGAGAAAGGGTACAACCCTGACAGTGTTATCCATACTTTATTGTGATACACACAGGCAAATAACTTTGCACAATCAATAAAAAACAAGTAAACCTCTCTCTACTATTCTGTTTTCAGGCAAGATCCATCAGACATCAGCAATGGTGATGTCAAAGATGGTTCCAAGATCCATCTGATATTGTAGCTGTTCTGAAATCCAGTTTGGATGTCTGGAGCAGTCCTTGTACTGCTCCAGCCATTATTAATAATCTTCAGCAAGACTTTGTTTGCATGTGATGATGTTGTTAAGTCCTGCCGAGTTGTTGACGACTCATAGCGACCCTATGAATGAAAGACCTGAACACCTGTATAACTTTCATCGTTTCTCCAATTTCATAAGAGTTTCCGGAGACAAGCTATTTTGTAAGTTGATACCACTCCTGCATCTAAGCTTGTTTTAATCGGGGAGCTCCACCAAACGTTGTCCACCATAGGGAACCATTACTGCATTTGACACATCAGTGCCACAGTGTTTAGCGTCACAGCCACCACAAGTTGCCTCTGTACAGCAAATGGACAGACCAGAGCTATACCACTTCGAAGACTGTGTGACCAAAAACAATTAAAACCAGGCCTGAGGGCCACAGAGTAAAATCACCCACCTTTGGCTTGGTATCATAATTTTTTATCCCCAAGGCCAAGAGAGCTCTCTCTACGTTGTTAATTAAGTGCCATCATCTACCTTTGTGCTTCAGAATACTCAACACCTGGATTCCAGCCCATACAGGTGATCAAATGTGTTTTTCAATAAGAGGCCGAGTACAATCAACTCACAGCCAATGGCCAGTAAACATTGCACCCAGATTCTCACCAAAAAGAAAAAAATCAAACCCCTGTAGAATCAGGCTGCTTCAGAATACTCAACAACTGGATATTAATTGGTAATTGCTGCATTTTGTTGGATCAAGTACACTTTGGTCTTAAATCAATGTTTTTAAATAAAATGAGGTATGCCTATAAATAAACAGGACACCATGAAAATGGCAAACTTTTATTCATCAAAAGATTTTACCAAAAAAGTTAAAAACTGGAAGACTGTCTTCAGAGGTCATATACACCCATTAAGAATTTAATAGCTAAACTACAGCAAAATTTTGACAACAAAATTAGAAATTATCAGTTGGGGTCAACACTGTAATGTTTAACTCCACAATAAGGGATTTATCTTTCACTGCTCCACAAATTGCTTGTCTGACAGA